GCCATCAAACCTACTAGTTGGCTATTTAAAAGGAAGCTTAGAAGCGTGCGTTTTACATCCCGACTCAATCTTAATTCGACTGAATCGTTTCCAACCTCATATCCCTCATCTGGAGCTCTTCTACCGTGCTACCTTTATTGTGAAGGGAAATTCTGTTTTTGGAAACCAAAATTCGATTTTTCACTTCGAAAGTTTGCAGGAACTCACCATCCGGAACAAACTGAGGCATTGGTATTGACAGAGGCAAGACCCTTTTGGTGTTATTCGCTAGAGAGTAGGCCAATATACTATGCTGCAATCCAGGCAGTTGTTTGAATGCCATGCTTCATGGGAATTCGGTGACTTTTTAACCCAAATACTCGCAAATACATACTGAGTAGGAACAGTTCAACCTGTAGAATAACAGGTTTTTCTGAGGAGAGAAGTTCAGAACGTACCCTTGGCAAGGGCACACTTACGGTTCTTAGTTTTTATTGTTTTAATTCCGAGTATCCGTAGTCGAATGCACTCAATTTGAATTCTGCCATGTTCCCTTACTCCATGTTTATTTTCTACCCCATCTTGTCCGACCTGAGAACGTTAAATCTCATTGAACATTTCGTCTTTAATCCGCCTCCTAAACGTGCTTTCTTTGTACTGAGCATTCCTGTCCGGGAGAGATCTTTTAATTTTATGGGACGTGACTGTAAACCCTATTGTGCCATCAAATGCATCGGCGCACCGATTCAACAAACACTAGCTTTATTCGGCAATACTTTCACTGTCCATTAGGCTGGCACAACCCTCAGGCAATGTATGTTTGTTTTGTGCTAGTGGAGAAAGGGTCGACTCAGCCACTCTATGCGATTCACGGGGACAGGTAGGGGAAGGGGGAGGAGTTAAGCGTTGATGTAGAATCTTGAAATTACAATCCTGAGATAAAATTGGGGTAGTTAACTCCTCCGGAGGTGCTAATCCGGAATTTGGATTTCTAGTCATAGCTAGGAAACCTTGCTACATTCAAGTCACCTTTACTCGCCTCCCAATGGGCATCCTATCTCTCACCCAAACTCCTCATAGATCTGCTCACGTTTTTAATTCACTCACCGATACTATGACTACATTTGCTTCCACGTCCCTCTCTCCTGTACTTTGTTAGATACTCATGTTCCCGGAAGGCACCAACCTCTGCCCAGAAAGCATTGTTAACAGTGATTCCTACGCCAAGAAAACG